GCCCGGGTGGGGGGCGATGGGGGTTAGTGATGGAGGGGGTGCGTGGGAGGGGCAGTGTAGTCCGGGGCGGACTACTCCAGGGCTTCGTACAGTAGAGTCACCTGAAGGCACATCGTCCGTGTCTGCGGTCCCCAGAGACGTGCAGATGTGGGACCCAGGACCGGGGAGAATTTGGGGGGCATGGCAGTCCTGGCTCCCCAGAGACCTCACCCACATTTTCAATGATTCCTATTATTTTAAACTCCCTGCTCCTGCCTCCATCCTAGGGACTGAGCAATACGCCTTGGTTTCTAAGGGGAGGTGGGCACGTCTCCTTCCCCACCCAGCAGGTCTAGGCTGGAGGAGCCGCTCCGACCTGCCGCATCCCTCCCCGGAGGTGAAGGGTGATAGAAAGCCCTGGGAGCAAGGCAGGGCCTCGTCATTCCCCAGCCTGAGCCGAGCTGCTCCCAGGCCTCCCGCCCCACACCCACCGGGGGGAGGACAGTGCCCTGAAGGCCCCCCAGGGAGAAGGTCCGAGTGTTGAGAAGCAGAGTGCTTGGAGGACAAAGTGGGAGGAAGCTGGGAGGGGATGTGTGTGCTCGGCCTGGGACTGGGAAAGCCACTGGGGAGGCCGTGCCATGGGCGCCTTCATTCCAGGCCGCCAGCCACGTTGTGGAGCTATGTCCCTGGCGCCTCCCCCAGGCTCCATGAGGGAACACCCGCCCTACCCCAGGACCACGACTTTGTCCTTGGGGGTTCTGCCCACACTGCATCTGCACAAGCCAGTTTGGGAGTATCCTGCCTCCATCCAGAGGGTCCATGTGAAAACACCTGTCCCCCAATGTTGTCAAGGGGCCGGGGCCTGGCCAGACCGGGGTGGAGGGGTGCCTGGTCCGCCTTAGAGCAGCCCCTGCCCTAGGTAAGGGCCCTGCCCCTCAGCTTCCACAGAGGGAAGACTGACACGGCAGCCCCGCCCTGCTTGTGTCCCGGTTTCCTCTAGACCAACTGGAGTCTTCTTCTCTTCCCCCATCCCACCCCAGAGGGAATTTAGGGGCCTCATACTCCACGTGGCCTTCAGGGTGGCAGCTCCCATAGGGGCAGCTGTTGTCTTCCTCCCCCACCTGTGTCCTGTCTGTGGGGTAATGGGATCACAGCTAGAGCCTTGATCCCAGGACGCTCCCTTGAGCCTAGTCCCTGGAGTGTTTATGTGGGGGAATAATCCTCTTTGCCCCTCCCAGGGCCTCCTGCCTCCATGCCCTCTGTTCTCCAGGTCCCCAGGGCCACAGTGGTACCTCTGACTGCCAGGCAGTGCCCTGTCAGAGGTGTCAGGTTCCCCTGCGGCCTGCCCTACCCAGCCCGGCTGAGACAGGTGGAGGGTAAGGGCAGATGGGTCTGAATGGTCCCAAGGAAGACGCCACTCCAGTGGAAGTGCCCAGCGCCCGGCTCCCTTACTCTCCATGATTTATTTGTGCATAGCCAAGATCATGGCTGAAGGAACTACGCTGGACCCTCTTGCTCTGGGTCTTTCCACATCAAAGGCTAGAGAAAGTCTGAGAGATGGAGAAGGTGGGGCATCACCCTAGCTAACTGGGGCCTCCATGCCTGTGTGTCCCCTGAGTCTTGACTATGACCCCTGACCTGAGTTCATCAGGCCAGTTGATATGTCACTCTGGAGTTCCATTTCTTTTTCCCTTACCAGTCCCCCAATAAGGGGCCACTGCAGAGCTGGGACGAGAGGTCCCTGTCCTTGGCTGATGGGCCTGGTAATCATGCCTGTTTTCATAGGCTCATCTTCGGCACCCTGTACCCAGCCTATTCGTCCTACAAGGCCGTGAAGACAAAAAACGTGAAGGAATATGTGAGTGAATGACCCTTCACCCCTACCCACATGGGAGAGAGAGGGGAGGCCAGTGGGTGCCAGATGAGGGTAACTACCAATGCTGTCAGCCACTAACGAGACTCTCAAGCAAAGGAAGTTCCAGGGCGTTCCCTTTCCCCTGGCTTGGTGTGATCCAGAGACAAAGCTGAGGTCCTGGGTCTCCCTTCGCCCTGGCATCCCCAGCAGAGTTGGCAGGCAGAGGTGGAGGCCTGCGTGTTTCTCCCTCCGCCTTGGTGTTTCTCCCTCTGCCTTTGTATGATGAGCAGGCACAGGTGGGGTCGGGTGTTCCTGGCCCTCCACCCCATGCCCCAGCAACGCCGCCCTCTGTATCCTCAGGTGAAATGGATGATGTACTGGATCGTCTTTGCCTTCTTCACCACAGCTGAGACGCTGACGGATATCGTGCTCTCCTGGTGAGGTCCAGCATCCCCTCCTGCTTGGCAGGGTCTGGGGCCTCTGTCTTTCTGTACCCAGCCGGCTAAAAAAACTAAGGCTCAGAGTGGGTCCCCCAACCCCTGCCCCAGAACAGTCCTTGATATTCCCCCCATGCCTGATGTAATCAGCAGAGTAACAGAAGCAAACTCACGTGTTTGTAAACCTTCCTGGTGGCTATCAAAGCGGCACAATGGGGTTCAGAAAACCTGCTCCTGCCATGCTTACTGAGCCTCCGGCAGGGTCACCACCCTCCAGGCCTCAGTTTCCTGGGTGTAAGTAGGCATGTGATCATGATCCAGCCCTGGACACGCTGGATGCCTGCATTCCAGAGTGTTTTCCAGGCACCACTGGACTATGTACATATAAGCCGACTGAAGATAGAGAATGTGTCTTAAACAGCTATATGTTCACAGCAGAAACTCAAAAATGCTTACTGGATGATCACATGCCTCTTGGAAGACTAACAATGCATGGGAAGTCAAGAGAGTTCTGCCAAGGGTTAGAAGACAAAAGATAACACATTTTTAGATCATGCACTTGTATTTGATAAAAATAGTTTTAGAAGGGGGGAGCAGGTGGCATGGTGGTTCAGTTGCTGGACTCCCACATAACCAACCATGGTTCAAGTCCCAGACCTGGCAGCTCACTCTTTCACTTTCCCTCTCTCTCTGCATCCCTCTCTAGTTAATTTTTAAAAAAATAAATAAGTAAAGTTAAATTAAAAAAAAATAATAATAATAGGAGCCAGCAGGTGGCATGGTGGTTAAGTCACTGGCTGATCATGGTTACAGTCCTAAGCTTGTTGGATTGCTTCCTCACTCTCTCTGGTCAAATTGAATAATAATAATAGATGGGGTGGACCAGCAGTTGGCAAAATGGCTATGTTGCTGGACTCCCATGTAGTCAACCACAGTTCGAGTCCTGGACTTGGTGACTTAAACTCACGCCGGGCGTGTGTGTGTGCGTGCCCAAGATCCCAAGAGGAGAATGGAGGAGAAGGGATTATGGCGTGGCCATTCCCCCCCCCGGGGGGGGTGATTTCTCACTTTCTGTCTCTCTGTCTCTCTCTTTCTGGAGAGTGCAGGTACCCTATAGCCCAAGAAAAAAAAAACTCTAAAAAAAAAAAGAAGACTATATGGGGGGGATCAACAGGTGGCATGGTGGTTAAGGCACTGAACACTCCCACATGACTGAATCTGGTGGCTTGCTTTCTCACTTTCCCTCCCTCTCTCTGGTTACATTTAAAAATAGTAATAATAATAAATAAAATTAAATGAAAATTATTTTTAAAAATCATAATAAATAAAGGTTTTATTTTTTAAAATCTCATTTATTTATTTATTTATTTTTTAATTAGACTTCCCATGACTTTTTTTTTTTTTGATCGGTTTTT